CACAACCCCCCCCCCCCCCATTTCCCTACACCGCAGCACCTTTCTTCCCCCCTTTCCTCATGACTCTTAAAACTTTCTCCGGTTCCTTCTCGATTCATCCTCACTTACCCTCATATGGAATTTCTTCAGTTCTTTAGCAACCCCCTAGAGGATATATAGATATATCAACAAATGACAAATTGCTCATGATTTCCCGCGGGGATCCCAATATAACCATATATATATATATATATACTTGTATACACATATTCACATATGTATAAACACACGGTATATACATATATACATAATTTCGGCACGAGTACACCCTTACCAGATTTCTTTATTGTTTCCGTCTCTCTCTCTCCCCTCCACCCATCATACACCAGCTCTTTCCCTCTCGCAACCGATATACCAGAAGAAGAAAAAAAAACTGTCCTGATACCCATGCGCCGGTAGGTTTCTTAATACAGGTAACGAGATTATTCTCTTGGTTGGCTGATTGTTTTCATAGCCGTCAACTCGAGTGCGTCGAGACGCAAGTCCCTGGCCAATGAAAGGAATAAGATTCGAACGATAATCGACTAAATGGAAATCCTTGTAATCCCTTATGTCTGTTCTACGTCGAATTAAAAGAAAAAAAATAAGAATCGCTGCCACCAACCCTATCGCCGAGTGCATGTTGACGGTAAAGGCGAGAGAGAGGCAGGTAAAATAATAATTCTATAGGCATCCGCCGTTTTACCGTCCACGTAGACATCGCGCATGCTAATTCGATTGCCATGCTATCCCTTAAATTAACCGTAACGTCCCGTGCAACGTCCAACCGTGTTTTGCAGGTACATAAAAATGTTCCCGGTAGCGAAACACTTTTTAAAACTTCTTCTCGCAACGAGCAATCCCAAGCGAGCGAAGTGGTGCTATAAAGCCATTAGGTGCAGCAAATACCATCGGGATTATTCCCTTACGTTATCATGAGATTAGCATGCAAATGAGCTTCGGACGGTGACGTCACTACGGGAGCGTAAACGTGTCCAGGCATGAGCGCGATCAGTTTGGAGTCGACAGAAGTCATACGGGCGGCCATTTTGCTCGAACACTTGGTAAGATCGTACAATCGATAATAAGAAACGTCCGCAGATCATCCTGATAAAAAAAAAATTTATTCGAGCAATCAAGAAAGGGGGCTACCCTTTCAAATTTGTCATTTTCCTATGCCTGCCGTGAGTCCGAGAGAGACAGTCTTATGGGCGTTGACGTGCGTAAGAGTGAGACGGACGAAGACGTAAGCACAGAAGGGAAAAAAAAACGAAAATTTCGCTATACCCACGCAGCACGATACGACGCAACCGTTACGTCTCTCTCTCTCTCTCTCTCTCTTTCTCATTTAACCACGTGAATTATCCATAAGTCTATCTCTGTCGTCTGCACGATTTTCCATCGCATACGTACACATACCATCGGTGCATCCAGGTACATACTACTGCAAGGTAAATGTAAATGGTCGCCGGTTGCGTTCATACTGCATTGGCCGTAGCCAGGGTGGCGCACAGCAGCCTTCAACCTCGAGGCGAATCCTGGATTGGAAGCCGCACTCGCAGCGCGCACTACGTTATCACTGTGATTACATATGTACACCCCGTATATGGTGTGTTACTAGCTAGTATATGGTGGTTCCGTGTAACAATGAAATCCGCGAATCCATTCGACTGTACGAATGGACGATCCAAGCTCGTCTCTACGCTCCCTCCGACCACGAGATCCTTCAGTCGTAAAAGCTCAGGTGAAATTAGCATGATGCGCTTGCACGCCGATAGAGTTGTTGCGAAGTGGAGAACGTACAGATAGACAGATAAGTGACTGGGACCAGGGAGAAAAGGGGGGAAAAAAGGAAAGAAAAAGAAAAATTAAATCGAATAAAAATAAAGAACACGTGACTTTGACAGTTTTCCGATAGTGAATGCGATTGCGAATACAACGATGGTTAATGACGAGTTGACGCCTACGGTGAAGGTCGGTGTGACGTGAGAACAAGGGGAAGTCTTAAAAGGGGGGAAAAAATAAAAAAAAATAAAGAAAAACGTCACGATAACACATCCTGTGTCGGACGTGAACTTGCCAGGTGGAGATGCTATATCTATATATGTATAGCGTGTTTTCTCGTCAGCTGATGTCCCTCAGGAACTCAAGAGGGGCGATAACGGATATAATGACAACCGACCTGATGCTCCGATTCCGGATATCGAAGAATTTATTTCCATTGACCATGTAACGGTAGATTTTACTTTTTTCCATTCTGGTCGGGACAATTTTCAAAGTCACGCGTCGATCCTAGAGACAGGAAATCGTATACTCCGATTCTCTGAAACTTTTTGTTTTCGACTGTACTCTAATGCATAACGATTGTTGAAAGTTGACGTGAGAGTAGCGGAAGAGCGTGGAGGAAGAGGGTAGGAGGTTGGAAAGTAAAGTTTTCATCGTCCATATTTTTCGGCCAACTTTGAATATTTCAAAGATCATATTTCACAGCGGATGGATCCCGGGGATGAAGAGTTTCATAATTTTGTGCGGGAATACGAGTATGAAAAAAAAAAAAAAGAAATTACCGTCCGTGACAATAATCATTTATTTATTTTTTTTTTTTTTCGTTAACCTAAAAATACCTCAAATTACCTGCAACGACAGACACGCGCTTTTAGATATATAAAAAAATGTCCAAAAGGTCGTAATAACACGGTAGGGACATAAAGAAAAAGTAAAAAATCATTATCGCGTATCCAGCAATTTGCATTTGTGACGCGACGCAACAGTGTAAACACGGTTTAATTAGATAGTTTCAGCTGAGCCCTTTGTGTGACAGCATACCCGTATGTCACGCGATACACAGCTACGTACAGATGCGTAATTACGCACAATTACAAGATTGCCCTGTTTTGGTAATTTGGCAGAAATTGTTGGATCCCCCCACTTTCACGCCCACCATGACTCTGCGTACAATATATACGGCCGCCTTCGCGTAGCTTCGGCAACATTAAACAGCTGATCGAAGAAATTCCCAGCTAAGTTTAGTTGCTCGATTTACTGCGTTAGCGGTTATAAAATAAAAAAAAAAGTCAACCTCCCAGTTATTATCTGCAAGAGAAAACTGAAAGAACCTTTTATAAGACCCTTCGCGTTACCCACGTAACAAAAGCCAAGCACCGTTACAGGGAGCCTCCAGATACGCTTCTTGTTTCTCTGATTGGCCGAAAGAAAGTTCCAAGAGAATTTCGGTCACGCCCCTTCTTATTCGTCACGTGCGCCGTGAATCTGCCGTGTGCGTTCACGGCAATAAGGCAGGATTGCGTTTACATTAGAAATCTCAATGCCACGAAATAATTTGGCATTCGAAGCGATAGACGTCTATGTATTCTAGTATACGCTAACGTATCGCTGCTCACGTAAACATCCCTTTCGCCCGTTCTCTTTGGCAAAAGAAAAAAGTATGAAAAGCAACAAGCCATACCGGTGTATCGAAACGCCCGAAAATCACATGTTCGAGTCTCGGTATGTACGGTACCATTGTACACGTGAATCCCGAGAGAAAGTTTACCGTATGAAAATTCGAAGGGGGGTCGAAATCGGGTACAGTGGACTTTCCTATATACAGCCCTGGGGATATTCTTACGGCGGTACAATAGGTACAGGCAGTAGGTAGGGGCAATAACGAGGCCGTGCCGACGGCATTCCCGCGGGAATACGTGGGTATCGCACCCACGGCAAAATAGTTGAGAAACAATGTACACATTTCAATGGTTTTACTGGCAGCTGCAGCTGACGACAGCGTCCACGCTTCGGGCTAGCGCGGAGCTTTAAACAGCCCGAGAGCTTCAAACTCGCACCGTTAATTTTACTGAAAGCTCCCGAGTATTTCCTGATACGTGTGACGTGTGTGACAACAGTACGGCATACTATACACCGACTAATGCTAATAGTCCGATCGCTCGATCGATACGGGCCGTAGGATGTTCTTCGGGAAAAAAAAAAAAAAAACCATTTAATTCCTACCTATGTCTCTGGGGATATTAAATATTTTTTTTCCGATATGGTATAAAACGTACGATTTCAGTATGAGCTATAGACGTAGCGATGCTTGTGATTATTAATACAAGGTATCAAAATGATGAACGACCCCCCTGTCTACCCTCGAATTAAAAATTCCTGGTAATAGAGTGAATGGAAAAAAAAAAAAAAATAAAAAAAAATTTTCTCGTCACAATCGCTCGATACGAAAGTGAGGATGGTGTCGGGGGTTCGAAAATTATTTTTTTGACTACGTCATAGGGGACGAACAGTCGACGGTTCGGTAGTCAGGGACGTGCAGTCGTGTAAATTAGGAAGGAGCGAAACTTGGTGGGAATTAAAATGAATCTGTGCCCCTGAATTTTTGAAAGAGGGAAAGTGTCGCTGGGGGAAAGAGTGGGTCTCCGATGGGAATGAATTCGAAAACTTCACAGTCAATAATGTAATTGTGGTAGAGTGTCCTTTCGCGAAAAGCTCCGACGGATCGATCGAAGCGCGAGGCAATTCCGAAACGAAGGGTCCTCGAACCGGTTGCCGGTAAGCGCGAGGAAAATAAAACTTTTTCGTATAGGTAGACTCTTCGTCGGATATACGTCAAAGGGAACGGCGCTTTCCATTTTCCGCGTTTCAGGTTCCTTCTGATTGGATGAGCTCGGGCCGTCCCGACGTCGAAGCAATTCCAGTGCCGCCACGCGATAAATAACTTGAAAATTAACGTGGAAACGGACATTCCCCGATAATCCCTCTGTAGCCCTGTGTGCCGTGAGACTATTAATGGGAGAGAAAAAAGATCTGTCAAGTCACAAAAAAAAGTACCAAGAATTACAAAAAAAAAACAGTCACTCGCGTCTCAGACAAAAAGTACAGACACTCGAGGCGCATCCAAAATGACTGAAACACCGTGAAGAACGATCCTTCGATCGATCTGCACGATCTGCACGATCGAACGCGACTTTCGCACAAGAGTGCCGAAAGTGCTTACCTGTGAAACAAATATCTTTAGCCACCCGTCCAAAACGAAGGACGAATAGTCGAGAGTCGAGAGTTCAAAGCCGGGCTTCGCCCTTCCGTAAAACCCCCATATGTGAACCGTAAGCGTCAAACACGTGAGAGTTTGGCCGTCGTATTATCGTTATTTCCCGAAAGCTCTCTCGATTTCCCGAAAAAAAAAAAAATACTATTTTCCTAAGCAATTTTTTAAGTAGATCCTTCGCGGTTTCGGCCTTACTCCACCCCTCTCCCCTCCCCACATAAATCAATAAGTACACTTATCATGCACATATGCATCGTATAAAAAAAAAAAAAAAAAAAAAAAAAAAAAAAAAAAAAAAAAAAAAAAGCGGTTTCGGCCTTACTCCACCCCTCTCCCCTCCCCACATAAATCAATAAGTACACTTATCATGCACATATGCATCGTAAAAAAAAAAAAAAAAAAAAAAAGTACCGTAATAAATATTCCTAACTCGTTTCCCCAGGGTCGATATAGAAAAGGGGTAATACAATAATTTT